GTTTTCGAGGATATTTGTCGCGGTTTAGGCCTTCTAAAAAATACCCCCATGGGCCTACTTTCTCTATTATTCATCTTTTCAGGAAAAATTAGGCACAGTTGAGGGAATGCTGACACAAACATTGCAGAACAAAAGCTCTGAGACGAATGAAAAGGCGCGCTTCACTTCCTGGACGACACAGCATGACTCAAGGACCTCTTACATTTCTTTGACGGAGTTCCGTTTCAGCCATGTAATCTAGCGAAACGGGACACCTTGGACTCCACAGCTGGGTACCATGGAGTTTATGGCTTTGGGACACTGGGGATGCGGGGTGGCGACTGTTTGCAGGAACATCTTTGTCGAATCGTCGCATTGGAAACATGGACCAAGTTGTAGTGGGCATTTCTCAGAATTTCGCGCAATTTCGCGGCAGCTTGGCATTGTATTGACACGATTTCCCACATCAGACTTCGGAAAAATTGTTTTTTAATTCTGATAGCTGGTGTGGCAGAGCGTCAGCTGTGCAATCATCGCTCAATGGGGTTCTCAGAAGTTGCCTTGCGTGCAAGTTCAGTCACCTTGCAGCAGCTCGGAACATCTTGAATGGCACAGCCTGGTATAATGCAGGATAGTCTCAAGCTGAAATGTGCTGGGTTCGCAATCTATTGACGCAAAATCGCCGGTCTATCACAAGGCTCTTTCATTATGGTTAGGCCAGCTGTGCATGGCACTTTGCATCAGCCAATGCACGATCGCTGACACAGCTGCTGCTCTGCAATGGCGAGATGTCACGCGCGACCAGTAACCAGGGCTTGTCAGAAATACAGCTACTTTGGAAGATTTGAACGTTAGGCAAGCAGTGCTACAGCATGTTCTCACAATCCTTACCGCCCATCACAATTTCCTACAGTGACCAAGTGTGACGCCATTAAACTGGCTCAGGGACCGGTTCAGCTGTCTATGTAGACCTGAGTAATTACGACCCATCATCGTGAGCATCGGACGCGTTGGCTCACTTTTGAGGGTGACGGAGGTAGACCGAGCTTGTCAGTGAGTCAGCCCTCAGTCATGTCTTCGTCACAGCCAAACTTGCGGTACCTCGCACATCTCCGCACAGCTACGGGGCGCTTTCACTTTATTGAACTGCCCGTTGAGATCGGGAAACGTGTGCCTGTTGAACAAAGTGGAAAACCACGTTGAAATTTTTACGTTGCAAGCTCGGTTTAGAACGGCACTCCAAGCCTTTGCAGTTGCTTGTGATTTACAACTTGCCAGAGTGCCTTCAAATATGAAACCCGAAACGGCATTACTAAAGGCAAGCCCCACGACCGTAAACCTTGAACCTTAAACCCCTGTTGAATCGTTCAAGCCGCTTGAAAGACAGAACCGAAGTCCCAACCTTTGCTCCTCCGTGGTTAAACCAGCTGGCTTTTGTCGGTGCCATGGCATTAGCCCTTGCTGGAGACGACCTGGCTGCGGATGTTGCGCACCTGGGAGGCGAGGTGCGGAGGCCGGTAGCCTAGCGTTGGTTGTTGAAACTTGCGTTGATGGAGGCTGCTGCATTGGACAGGACATAGAATCTATCAACTTTCTCGAGGCTGAATCAAGATGTTCGTGGTTTGGAAGGCCGACAGGCCCTGGATGCTTTCATGTGTCGCATTTTAAAAGTAGCATACCACGAGTGCTGCGGCCAACCCGAGCCGGTGGACTCATGTACTTAAGGCCTCGCCTAGTAAAGCATGACATTGCCAATCCCTTTTTTTGAGCCAAGCAGCATCAAACCGAAATTGTTAGCCCGGTGCCAAACTTGAAGTTTGAAACGTTTGTGCTTCGGGGGGAGGTGTTGATGGATCGTCGCTTGGTCGAGCTCGGTAGCCTCATCCAGGGGCTGAAAGCCAGTTTCTCAGAGTTCATAGCGATTTGCAGGTTGTTGGCTGCACAGACAGACGATCGAGGAACCGGTGCTTTCGTGTGCAAACCAGAGCCTGCCTGGCACAGGAGGAGCACTTCGTTCAGACATTTGCTTGAGACTTGGAGCACTCGCTTGGTTTTGCTGGCTTTTACTTGGCCTTTCCAACCATTCAGTGGCCACGGACGCACGTGAGCATCAAAATCTACAGTAGCCATCACCCTTCTAAAGTATGGCACACACGCGCTGGACACAAGCCGCCACCAAGCAAGGCCACCGAGAGAGGCCAGCGTACTGTGGCACTCGGCGCGAAACGTGCGCTGGCCGCAGCAACGCAGCTGGAGCAGGTCGAAGCATTCACTAGCCTTTTGACGAGAGTCAATGAGTTAAGAAGTCAAGATGCTTTTACGATTTTGCGTACAGGATGTTTGTGGTGGCTCAATTGATTATGAGGAGAGAACAGACGGTGGCGTGTTTATTCCCGCCACCCAAAGCACGAGGTGTGGTGTTGTGGTATTCGGAACGTTGCGTTTGTCTGTGTCAACCCAGGATGGAGACAAGAGCCAGTTGTGGTCTGTTCATGGTTATCACGCATGTCGGTGTGATTGTCAGCGCGACTACTTCCATGGTTGCGGTTGAGGTTGCACCTACGGAGTCATGGTGGTGATGGTGGTTGTACAGATGTTGTTGTTGAGTTGGGCACGAAGGTCATGCTGCATGTGGCTGGTTGGTTTTTGGCCTTTAGTTAATCAGGACCCTGCAGAAAAAACACTTATCTAAGGTGCTGTGCCTGTTATGGTCGAGGCTTAAAGCGACGTGTGTGAGTGCATGACATGTGTGGGAAAGCAGGGCTTCAAGCACATCCGTTAGTCGTTTGAGAGCCGACGACTTGCTTGACAGGAGGGAGAATGGAGCAAGTGCATGCAGGCCAGGCCTGCCTGGCTTGGCAAAGCCCTGGGGGGCAACTTCTGCGTTATTGGCAAGGTAAAATCAAGGTGGATGAATGCCTGGCGGAACAGAGTCCGAACATGGCCCTCTGCTCCTCTGCCAAAATTCCGCATTTCTTGCAGGGTCTCGGCCTGGACATGGAGAGCAGGCGAGGCAGAGTCCCTGATTGGATTAGAGTAGGGGCAGAGTCGGTGTCAACATTGTGCCATTGACTCATTGATCTGGGTCATGTTTCCGCCTAACTACTGGTCACAGTGAGTGACTTTCCGAGGCTTAACGAGGAGCTTGCTACTATGACCAGGAGGATGGAGGCGGGATACCGTTTGGATGTGTGTTCGCGCATCACCATGCCGGTGTGTTGCCGGTGTGTCCCTGTCAGCGTCGAATTGGCTTCTCCACCCGTGTTAGACATACTTCCAAACCGTTGCACTCAGATAAGGTCGTATGCAGAAACTAGAAGCAGACACAGCCATACAAGCACATGCAGGCATACAGACACGCACACATGCAGAGAGAGACAGAGAGAGCAGGAGAGAGAAGATACAGACAGGTTTCTAACAGTATTTCGCACTTCGTCTTGTACGGAACCCTTGACCGCGCACGGCGCACAGTAGCAACGAGGATAGGGGAGGTTAGACAGGTAGGTACAGGCAGTGAGGGCGCATAGGGGTGTTCCGTGAGGCGGGGTGTTGAGGCTTTCTCTGTCACAGTGCAAAGAGGGGTGAATGACGAACATCTCTTCTATGTAATTGCTTGCTAGACTGCGTTTTGCTTCAGAGTCACTCGCAACCTCGGCAAGGCTTCACAACACCGGCAATAAACCGGGGGGGGGGGGGGTCGGGGGGTTGTGCAGAAGACGCCGAACTAGTTCCGCAAACTCGCGCGGGGCGGAGCCTGCCAAGGTGACCCCGAAAGCCTAAGGCCCGCAGCAAGCAAGCAAGCAAGTGAAATACATATAATATACATGTGACACATATGTATGTATGGATGGATGGAT